CACAGTCACAAACAAGGGGAACAGGTTCACTGACGTGGGTGTTTGTACAGCACGTGTGTGATTGCGTGGGGAAGGTTACTGAAAGGAGTCGTGTGTAAAACAGGTATAATCGCGTTATGCTTCGTGAAGTGTCATTTTTATACTTCAACGGGCACGTGTAGCCATTACTGTGACATCAGTGTCTTACGTAACTTCCGCGTCGCTGGTTTCCAAGGCGAGTGGGTATATCAAAATGAATCATCATGAATGCCGCCTTGCCGAAACCTGCTAATAAATTAGCCAGCTCATTGACTATGTTAGGGGATTCCCTTAGGGTAATTTAGAAACTCCTCCAGTGGACCCTATTTGGTGAAGCTGTCGTCCTGATGACGGAAGTTGTAAGTAATTGCCCCTGAAACTTTGGCCAGTTTTCACCGGGTTACAGGGCACATCATACTTACCACTGCGAGAACCTGAAATAACACCTGTTTTGCGCACTTCTGCGGAAGTTGTTTACATACAATTCGGCTATGGATAGTTTTCAGTGGGAAGTGTGTTCCAATGCAGTGGGTGCTGAGAAATTATTATTTGAAGTTCTGATTGCAGTAGATTCCCGATTAACAGGGTTGGCTAGGAAAAATATTTTCCCTGATAATTCACAGAAACGAAAGAAAATCACATAGATGTAATAAATTATTAAGTTTAATTTCAGACATAAACTACTTAAATTTAATAATATCAGAAATGATTTTTTTTAAAAAAATACAGTACATACCAACTGATAGAAGCCACAGGGGTCTAGCCGTTAGAATGCTGGCCTTGTAATCCTGGGGTCTCGGGTTCAAATCCAGGCGGTGCCCGAATTTATAACTTGTGTTGGGCAAGGCCGTGGTCTAGGCAACACGGAGGTTTCCTCCGGGGGCTTCCCCGGTTTCTCCGTGGCATCCTATTCACACACAGAAGAAGGCAATGGCAAACCACTTCTGGATCATCTGCCAAGAACGTACGGCGGTGGCCGAATTTATAACTTGTGTTGGGCGAGGCCGTGGTCTAGGCAACACGGAGTTTTCCTCCGTGGCATCCCAACAATTACTTCATTCACACACAGAAGAAGGCAATGGCAAACCACTTCTGGATCATCTGCCAAGAACGTATATGAACAGGTCCCAGTCCGAGAAAAGGATGGAAGGATCCTGTTGATATGGACCTATCGTCAGACAGAACACTAAATAAAATAATAAAAATATATAAATAGAAAAGAGATTCCACCGGATATTAATGACGTTCTATTGTAGTAAACGTCACGTTGTAGCAACATTTGTAATTTTTGTTTTAGCCAGATAAACCCCGGTGAATCCGCCCCGGATAATCTATACTCAGCTGTACCATTTGTGTGGAAAGTTGTCACGCACTCACAATGATAGGAATTCGAATGTGTTTGAAGACAGGTTATGTATGTGTAACACCCGAGGTTGAACAGGAGCTTTGTTTCCTGTAACGTAAACTAGTGCGACGTAAACCATCGATGATAATCGTCGCGGGTTTACCGGGCGACACACGTGTACCAGACGCAGAACTGTTTCTGCATACGCTAAGCTGTTAGATGACAGTTAATTATCCGGTAAAGAAATAATCGGCTTTGTTGTACTAGACTATTTACTGCCGTGTACACAAAGACACTTAATAGGAATCCACTCTTTCACTTAAATCCTTTGTACACCCTCGTAGGATTTTAAAATTATCCTTCCATCTATGTCTCGGTCTCCGTAGCGTCGTTAAATGGGCCCGGTATTGCATTTCATAAAAATTAACTCCCGGTGTAGTTGATGATTGGCACTAATGCTTCGTATTCCGGAAGTTTTAATTTCGAATCTCGTTCCGGTGATAGTGTTTTCCACCTTCCTCTGTCTTAAAAAGACAGAGGAATCGAATGTTATCCACAGTCTGGAACTTGTAGATGGAGAGTTTAATTATTGTAATTCGGTCATGCTGCCTCCATCTTCAGGACTCAATGCTATTTTTTAAACTACCAGTAGCTACGATTTGTACACATCTGTCCTGTGAAATTGACGTAAAACCAACTCTGCTTTGTTGTATGTAAACAAACAAAATGACGAGCGGAAGGCGGAGTGTTGTCCATCTTAACCGTGGGAAGTCCACGTTTCGGTGAATCGTCTATTTCTGCTTGAGTTCCCAAGTGTACCGAAGGATTCGTTCCAGGCAGCCATTCCTATAAGACGGCGCACTTTGCACTGAGTGCACTAGGTATTGTTAAGAAGCTCGCGTTCCGAACGTCTTTTATTCTGGGGATATTTTGCTCGAATCCAGCAAAACTAGAAACTTGTTATTCCCCACTTATGCTCCAATGAATCCGGAGGGTTGAATCAGTAAAATGATTGAAGTTGGATTGCTGGATTTCGTGGATTCGGTTCCTGGCTGGCTGGGTCCTGATAATTTTTTGTCATAATATTCAAACGGAATCTTCGGCCCACCAAGCCGATCATCAAATCGGCTGGGAACATGAATGCAGTGCCCACGTTACGAACTCGTGGAGCCTTCATTCTGTCTTGGGTTCATGGTGCATTACTTTTGTGGTACTCAGGGCGTAAACTGTACTTTTATTATAAAACAATGATGTACGCAGCTGTGGTAAAGTATTTTCAAACTGGAGTTTGTGATTCGGAATAAATTTAATCGCTGACAGGCTCTTTTCCGCGACGGTCCATGGACCACCAGCTGTGAGAAACAGTCCTAATTGGCTTCTTTCCATCGGGTTTGCCAGCCCAAATGTTGGTCACGTAACGTGCTGGGGGCACGCGCCTCGTAGTTTCACAGTGCACACGCACTATAAAACTCAAATTATCTGCCAAGTCCTGCAGCGTGAACTGCCCGCTGATCTTCCTGTCTTACCGTCGGCGTCTGATTTATGTTCTCTCTGATTTCGTTGAAGTCCCTTACCGTTTTGTGTTAAATCCGGTATCGAAATTGACAGTGCGGATATAATTTAAGGTGCCTCTCTCTCCTCTGCTCCGTCTGTATTTACCCTCTCACCGTTAGTTCCAGATACGTTCTTGGGTTCTTGCTGATATATTTATTAAGGTGCTATTCGATTCCAAGCATTGAACTCTCTGTCCATTAGTTCTACGCCACTGAACTGCTGGATTCTTTCATTTGGCTGCGGGACAAAGGACTATAACAAGACCAGATTGAGTTACCATGACAATGAAATGTTGCTAGTGGTACTAGGAATGCGTCGTTCTAACATAACACGTCGGAAAGATTAATATAACTTTTTTTAGTGGCTAGATCGGTTTGTCAGAGAATAAAAATTAACAAGCCCATCCATAAAACGTAATTGAAAAGATAATATTTCATAGATGTCATGATTTTTTTTTTTAATCAACGACGCTTTGGTAAGTTTTTTTAATCTTTGTTCCTTCGTGTCAGATCGTGTGGGGGTTTACTTAGTCGACAGTTAGCGTATTAGAGAACTCTGTTGGCTTATTTAAGTTAGTGACAACATAAAATTCTGAGTCTCTCACACTTGGTGCCTCACCACACAGCTCTGAAATTTGTCCGAAAAATAAAAAAATTTACATAGCAGGAAGTTAACATGAATTTCAAGCACTTTGCGTTGATCCGAACGTACAAAACTGCCAAGAAATTCCTGTATATGAACTCCAACTACACAGATTTTCTAGGATTAAATATTTTTTCTCTTGTTAGACACAAAGAAAGATCATGTATAATGTTTCAAAAAATAATTACACGATTACGTCACAATAAAAATTCGGTGTGCTAACTTTTTTTGCAGTTCATGCCGGGAGCCGGGAAGTGACATGCGTAAAACTGTTAATGAAACGCACCCGATTATCTTGTCCGTCATTATTTCGAAGACGACGTAAATCTTGTAGGACGTATTTTTATCTTGTTACAAAAAGGTTATGTTTGACATTAGCTGAAATGGAACTTTTGTTAGTTACGGCCGGTCCCCGGTCAAGTCTGAAGGCTTTAGGAACAGATTCAGAATCGGTCAAGGATCATCACCACGAGACCTCTAACTGACGCCATTAAATTCGTTCCTTTGCCGGAAGCTTGTAGCTACCGAGTATACTCGTCAACTGCCACCACAAATCTGCGTAGAAATAAATCAAATTAAATGAGAAAATACCCTGCATATTTCTGACGAAAACGTCGGGAATTCAATTAAAGTATAAACAGTCACACACATTGGGTTAAACGCCTCATATTTTAGGGGTTTCATAAGTATGTTAAGGTTTGAACATCGTGGGAATAAATATGTCCCGGTTCGGGCTGGTGCCTTGCGTGTAATGCACGAATCTGACCGTCGATTACACGAAAGCTTTACCCTTCGTCGTCGTCCTTGGCGCCGGCCAAAATAACTCCAATTCGCGCTCGTTAACTCTCGAGCTGCTACAGGAAGTGGGCTCCACAATGCGACGGGTGGGGTTAGGTTAGGTTAATTACGTAGTTTTGATCGATTGAAGTGATACAATTCTGTTGCCATGGTCGCCAACTGAAGGAATCAAAGGGGAAATTCCAGTCTCAGGAGGAAAATGAGGATTGCCATAGTCGGGAAAGACGAGATATATGTTCATACATCGATGTTGCAAGTGGGATTCTAATCTGTGACTGGATAGTGCTGTCAGTCAGTATTTATTAGAGGCACGAAGAAAAATCATGCGGAATTATATTCGAATCCTGAATCTCCAATTGGAATACTCAAATCACCTGCCATTAATAGGACAGCCACTCCCCTAAATGGCTTTCTAGGGTGGAATAAAGGTTATACGGACTTCGATCCCAAGATTAGATACATACAAATTAAATAAGTCAACTGAAATACCGATTCATTTTAATTATTACCGATTTCCATAATCGTTAACACAATGTACAAAATGTTTTGTATATATTTGAGGTTACATTTAATTAATTAGTCTTCTCAGGTACATAGTCATTATCACAGACATCATTAAAAGAATTAAAACTGTAAAATTTAATGCAAAATTGTTTTATTTAAACATGTTTTTATAGGTGATATTAAAATCCACGCAAGTTGAAACACTTAAAATTAAACTTGTTCAAATTTAGAGTTTCGAAGCAATCGGGTCTTATTTATTTTGAAACAAATGTATTATTGGTGCTGAAGTCTTACTTAATACGTGCGTTTCATCTGTCTATTATATATATATATACGTCGGCGTCTCTCGATTCCATCGTCACATTGTAAATTGTTCACTGGCATATTTACATACGTCACTTTTCGAATATATCTACAAAAATAAATAACTTGTAACTGGCATTCGGGGACTACCAGGGCCTCCAGACGGAAGATGAGGGCGGCTTGGACTCATCGTTAGTCAGGACAATGGTCGCTGAGAGCGCCAGCGGTCCCTGGAGCTGTGGTGATGCAGGCGGAGTGTACGCATTGTTGTAACAATGAGGGCTGATGGGGCAAGAGTCCGCGGCTGCTACCGTTTGTAGGACGTTGCTCGAGGATTTGTCGATATGACGGACGCACGAACCCAAATGTTGCAGTAACTGGGTCCTTGTCGTGGCATCGATGTTGAGAGGCGAAGTGGGAGATGTGGCTGCAGCGGCGAGGTACTGAGACACCTCTGCGGCGCAGTGGGTGAAACCTGCCCGGAATCTGTCGGCGTATGCAACCTCCGGGTTCAGACCAAGGGAATGTTGGCGACGGAGTTTGTGCAAATGACGCACAGTTAGCTCAAGAATGTCTGCCTTCTCAAGTTTGCTGACATTTTCTCCTTCGGCCTGGAGGGACGAGACAATGAGGTCCTTAAGCTCGTCCAGACATTTGTTTATTCTGGCTCGACGTTTGCGTTCCAACATCGGCTTCATAACCTGCGCACAAGAATGGCTCACATAAGTTGGTTTTTTCGTAAATGGAAGGGGTCGTTGCCTGTCAGTAGACACAAGCCTTGCATTAGCCTGGAAGACTGGCTAAATTCACGTAAAGTACTTCTGGTAAACAAGTTAGGCTATCTACCAATGTCATCCAGTTTGTAAAAACCCTCGGCACTGACGATAAATACTGACTGGACAGAGCAGGTTTCCCAAGAACGAAATAAATCGTAGAATACATAAAACTATATCGAGCTCAAAACCGAAATAATAAATAAAAATACTGATATACTTTACTAACCCCGAAGTCAATAAAACGGAAACAAAGATATATTCACACGCATCGTAAATAATTGCAGTTTAAAAATAAACATTCACATACGAGTCACAAGTGGGAAGAAAAATGACACATGACTGTCGCTGATAAAATTATTTTCGTGCCATTAATGAAGAAGAATGTGAATCATTTGGTTTCAGTATAAATCTTCCACATTAAAAAAGAACGAAACCAAATTAAACTCTCTTAAAACGGAAAATTGCTGCTGTTTATAGCTGGCATTTGGGCTCCTGCAGTTCAGTAACACATGGATAAGTGGGCGTAACCCTTCATTGAAGGTACTGGAATTAGAGTCCTCAATTACTTCCCAATGGATCAATTACCCAGAGGGTAAGGTCACCATGCCTTGCTAATCAGAACATAACCACTTAAATAAAATCGATTTTCTTTACCTTTCGATACTGGTATGTTCTTGATATTGGCTGTTCTTCATAGTCACAGGCTGGCACCAAGTACGTAGCCCCGTCAGGTCTCATGATGACGGATCACACAGGGCAATCAACAATTCGCTCTTATCACTAATCCACACCGATCGCCAGACACTATAGTAGTGGTAACAGTTTGGGGCAGGCCGTGGGCTATAAGTGTGTATATATAATAGGGGAATGTGGAGGGGATAGACCAGGTGTATGTGTGTATGTATGCGCAGGGCCCGTGTCAAACGGACTACCTCCTGCTGCAGCCGCCTCGGCCGTGGGAAACTAACTGGGCCCCACGTTCCCACACACACAGACAGCCTCTGAAACCACCTGTGCCATTCCCCCACACAACAGCTACTGCTATCAGGCTACTGGAACGCCGCGATTTTGACGACGTCCTAATTTTCGCACCAACAAATTCATCACCTCTCGTGCCTTTGATTTTTCAGAACCGGCGTGGACGACGCAGTATCAAAGCATAAAACACGTTCACTGTATTTCCACGATCAGACAACACCTTTCAAATTCAAGCGCCGTGATATTGGTTCGTGAATATTATAACCTGTTAAAATGTTGAAGGAACCCTTCCTCTGTCCATGGAACACGATCCATGAACATGTGTGTCTCCACGAATAGTCGGGGCGTTTGTGAGGGAGGAATTGCATTCCGCCACTGCAGAGGGGAGGAAAGGGTCTACCGCCTAGCCGTGACTAAAGAGAGTAATTTTAAAAAAATTGAAAAGCCAAGTTTTTAAGTTGCTTAACCACGCGTTATACAGCGCGTAATATTGTTTCAAAGCGAAATTAAAACTTCAGGTGAACCGTCCGATAGCTGACCCGAGGGATGAAGCTAACTGAGACAGACTCCGTCCTGAACTAATTTCGCCCCACTCCCCATCCTCATTACCTGTTTCCAGCACCCTGATTATGTAGGAAATAACCACCTCTGAAACGTCTGCAAACTTTTTACATCCTACACCTTCATAAACAAGAAATTTCCGTAGGGAGGGGAAAAGATAAAAAGAGACATTGTTTTCTGTAGCGCGTTCTAAATTTCAAGATTCGTCTCTTCATCTCTGTTCACTACCTTACGTCGACAGCTGTGGCCTTCGTGTCAGCCAAGGTGTGGACGTGTTCTCCGTGATCTGATTTCTTTCGTGGCCTGTCATCTGGGTTGTAGCGCCTTGCAGTTCACGACGCAACAACCCAGACGATAGCCATCTTCGTACTCACCGCCGTGAGAACCTTAAATCTTTTATGCACAGATGCAGTCAGTTCAGTCCAAAGCGCCCTGGCATTCTCGTTGCCTTGAGTTCCATTTATTTTGGACAGCCCTTGTGACTTTCTTGGTGTGGCTGAATGCTGTAATTTCTGGCAGACATTTGGATGCTACGTGTAACACGAGGCGTTCAGGCTTTCTGCCAGAGTCCATAGCCGAGTACTGAATTTTCCGACATCTTGCTCCATGAAAAATTCCACCGTGGACCAATGCCTCTTTCCAGAAGAAAAAGTTCCACGGTGTTTACTATCGTATTCACAGGAGCCCACCGAGCCTTGTGTGAAACGTTTTTGGACATGAATATGGCTCCTTTCGGATGTTACGCCGTGCAATCTCATAGTCTCATCAGGACAATCTGACAACGAACACATTAAGCGCCTCTGAAACGTCGGTCAGTTTGTTCGAGACTACACTGCACAGCATTCCAAGAATACTTTCATCGTCGGCCGCTGTAAGAACGTGTAATCTCGTTTTGAGACACAGTATTTTACTGCGAGGAGTGTTTCGCCAGCTGGCTAACCTCTGATTTGATACACCACCCCTTGTCAGCTGTCAGTATAGCCTATTCGCAGTTGCATTTTTTAATCTCGGGCAGAGTTTCGGCTATTCGGAGACTTTATATCTTTTCTTCCGCCATTCCCAAACGAATGCAAGGATAGTTTTTGGAATAGGCCACGTATTCCTCTGTTCGTGGTCTCCGTAGGCACGGGCAAAGCTTCGCCCTTCCTTCCGACTCCACCCGCATCGGCAAGTAACTCGATATTCCTTGGGCCAACCCTTGTATTTTGCACTGTTTCCAGCAAGCGGGCGTCTGTCAACGCGACCCACTTTTGAAATGTGGGGTGGAGGGGGGACACGAGGTAAAGCGCACGCAACCCCCCCCCCCAAACCAGTGTCACATAAGAAGGGTTTCAGGAGGTTCGGGAGACACAAGAAAGCAAAACGACGCTCCAGTCTGCGATGTTAAGGACAGCGGACCCTTGCACTCAAAACATGCCACAATACGGGTGCAGCAACGATGGGGGGAGAAGTTTGAATTACAAATGAATTTCCACCCCATTGTAAACACGTCTAACCCTCAAATCCCTCGTTACAGAGCAGTCATCAGTATTCAGCCGTTCAGGAAAATTCCGGTTTTTGGACCTAACTTCACAGCCGTAATCATATCAGTCACGAGACATCGTTTGCATCCTTTTTAATATCATCCTCCTACCATATTTTTTGGTCTTCTAAGTGACTGCATTAAAAAAGATTCTTTTTTTACATCAGTAAGATCCACTTACTTCCCCGATGAGGGCGATACGACCGAATCTCTCGGTTGAGAGGTTTGCAATACTACGTTTTATTCAGAAATACCCAGGGTGCTGGGTATTTATCGGTGATCCTCGCTTGCTGCAGGCCAAATCGCGTTATCTAGCACAGCAGTGTTCCTACACACCCCTATCGAAGCTACACGACCTGTACAGTTGAAGAACCATCGTTAGATAAACCATAAACAAACATCCCATTTACATTGGAGCATTTATGGTTTCAACCCTTGCAATCGAAACGTACCGAGAACCTACCACTGGCGACGAAGTGTCTCTCCAGAGTTTGTTATTAATAGGTTTAAATTTGCGACAAACATTTCACTCTGAATAACCAGTATCCTTAAGGGTTCGAAACATGTGCTTCCGGAACACAAGTCTACACTGCGTTAGACGAAAGAGCACACGAAAATGTTTCTGTAATATCATTTCATAAAGGCGGTAGATGCAATCAAATGATGCATCTGTCCGGCACCAAAATACGGCATGCGTGCAGCTGTACCTACGCGAATCGCTAATTCACTTCGCATATCTCGGTGTTCCAACACAACTTTCAACTTCCCAACCAGAAGGGGGCCAGGGGGGGGGTCAAACTCCCCTTCCTATAGACCCGGCCTTGAAAAATCCCTCCACATGTGTCACCCGATTTGCAAAAGCAAGCAACACGTGTTTCGCTAATTGCAAGCCATTGTTCTAGCTTTAACACGCGCAAACCAGTAACCTTGCACTCCCCCCCCGGGCCAACACTGATTAAAAAACTTGTGACCTTTTTGTGTTGCCAGAAAACGGACGGTAAGTGGTCGTTCGTGTTGTGACGCCGTTTGGTCGTTGGGAGGTTACGCTGAAGATGGAGGCGACACTTCTCTACGATATGTTGGTAACCACTTAGAAGACCACGCGGCGTCACATGACAAAGGGATGATGACCGCTACTCTTCAGTACAGTGGGAGAACGGCAAAGAACGGTTTCTAAAATCATCGCAAAATTCAATTTAAAACGACAACATTTATTTGTCAAATTCTCACCGTAAAGTTTTTCTACCGATGTTTGTCCATCACTCACAGGCAGTCGGCTCTACAATTTTTGTATTTAATATAATTTTCTAATCTACGTAATACAGTAGGTATATTATTTTAAACTTACAGCTTGTGTATACTGCGTTCCAGCGTTTTTGACCGATGAACTTTGTTTCATGTAGAGATGATGGTTGTCTTCTGGGATATCGGGTGGTGTAGTCGGGTAGAAATCGACCGACGTTTTGGAGGTGTTTATCTCCTCAGTCATTAAGGCGATGACGTAAGCACATCTGAAACGTCGGTAACCACACTATACGGTGCAAAATTCCAGAAGACAATAATCTTCATGCTCGCCGCCTTGGAAACCTTAAAACTCACTTGGTTAAAACGAGTGGGGCCCTGAAACTGGTATGAAATTATCGGACATTCGCTGGGATGGCGAATGTGTTCAGGGCTTCCAAGAGGGAGTTTCCTTTCAACTGCTGTCTGTATGCATCGCTGTTAACACAGAAAACTGTCTTTAGACAGTTCTTTTTCAGCGTAAACAAATCGCCATTATACAAAATAAGTAAGTCAGTATGTGCATTATTTATTAGATTTGTTAAAGAGGCTTCTATAAGATTCGTCCAACACACGCGTAGCTACGAGCTTGAAGTAAATAATATGACGTATGTGTGACGTAATAAACAGGAAATTGTGTTGTTTCAGTATAAGTTATTTTAAGAAAAACCCGGGCGGACAACAGATTAGAAATAAAGGACGTTTGCTGTGGAAACAGTGAAAGACGTCATGTACTTTCGTAACTTTTAAGTCTCACCGGTTAATGCTTTTTTAAAAAAATAAAAAAGAATACCAAGATGACAAATTTGTCGTCTATACCAGTTTTCCAAGACAAAGGCCATCGGTTACTGGGTGTCAGAAACTGGTCAGACAGGTCGAAGTGGTGGTGGTGGTCGATCCACGAGGCTGCGGGCGGACCAGGGTGCGTTGCGTCTCTCGAACAGCTGTTACAGTCAACGATGTGACCCCTGTCTTCAACTGGCAGGATCCTCGCATTTAATTGACTTCCACTACTCCTCAAGATGCCTCCATCATC